GGCAGCTCCAGGCAGGCAGTGCCAGCTCTGAGCTGTGGAGCTCAGTGTGGATAACTCACAGAGCTGTTGGGCTTCACCCATGGTTTGTAGGAATGAAAGAACCAGTAAATCCTGATAGCCTGAACTGACCCCCACATGACCTTTAGAACACCCAAATTTACCTGTTACCTGTTTCAGTACCAGAGTTTTGAGTGCAATTGCTCAGCCAAATTGAAGGTGGGAAGTGCTCCGTAGTACAAAATAGGTCATTGGTCCCTGCCCTGGGGTGTTCCCTGGAGAAGGAAGGATTCAAACCTCCTCCTGGAGAAGGAAAGATTCCCAGCTCCTGGAGAAGGAAGGAGTCACACCTCCTCCTGGAGAAGGATTCAGAGCTCCTCATGGAGAAGGAAGGATTCACACCTGCTCCTGGAGAAGGAAGGATTCCCAGCTCCTGGATCAGGAAGGATTCAAACCTCCTGTGTGTTGGGACCATTCTGGTGCACACAGCTGAAAGCCTCTGGGTTGTTCCCCCATCCCAGTTTCCATGCGACTCCTGAAGCAGAACTTAGGGTGCACAGCTCTTTTTGGGGAGGGACCCTGCTACTCAGTGTGAGAATTGTGTCAAAACAAGTGTATAAATTGTAAATTTAAACCTAGGAATTGTTTTCTTTGCAATTTTGGCCATCATATTCTGTTCAAAGACAGGAACATATGGATCCTTTTACCAAGTAAAAAAAAAAAAAAAAAAAAAAGGCTCATTTAAAATGTACCTAAAATTTTAGGAAATTGTGCACCCTTTTATCAATTTCTATAAAGACTTTAGTGAAGAAGAGAAAAAAACACAAAAAAAACAAGTGAAAAATCAACCTTTTTGTATTCTGGGGTGTATCTATTTTTATTCTGTTGGAATCCTATTTAAGTGGCAGGTGAGTGAGTGCTTGTGTGGCGAGTGGAAGACTTGTTTCAATCACCTCTTTACTAGTACAGCTGAGTGACCTGGTGACAGCAGAGTACTGCGTTGGATTGGCATGGAAGCTGCTGCTGGTCCTGTGTGCTGTTTCTAATGTGCTTTTAATTGGAATAAAGAACACATACTGAATGATCCATTTGCTGGTTTCTTCCTTCAATACTCTATTGGTGTTTAAAAGCCTCAGATAAGGACATTCCCAGCCAGGAGTCCTGATGAGTTTTCTCTTTGTGATTCTTCCCCTGCACTCGGTGCTGGTGAGGTCACACCTTGAATCCTGTGCTCAGTTCTGGGCCCCTCAGCTCAGGAGGGACATTGAGGGGCTGGAGCAGGTCCAGAGAAGAGCAACGAGGCTGGTGAAGGGACTGGAGCACAAGTGCCATGAGGAGAGGCTGAGGGAGCTGGGGGTGTTCAGCCTGGAGAAGAGGAGGCTCAGGGGAGACCTCATCACCCTCTGCAACTCCCTGACAGGAGGTTGGAGTCAGGTGGGGGTTGGTCTCTTCTCCCAGGCAACCAGCAGCAGGACAAGAGGGCACAGACTCAAGCTCTGCCAGGGGAGGGTTAGGTTGGCTATTAGGAAGAGATTTTTTTACGGAGAGAGTGCTCAGGCATTGGAATGTGCTGCCCAGGGAGGCGGTGGATTCACCATCCCTGGAGGTTTTGAAGCTGAGACTGGATGTGGCACTTACTGCCATGGTCTAGTGACCACGGTAGGGTTTGACTTGATGATCTTGGAGGTCTTTTCCAACCCAGTTGGTTCTATGATTCTCAGCCTGTGACACACTGAATTTTAATGCTGCTGTTCTGAAAAGATTCCAAGGTTTGTTAAGTGATGCTACACAATAAATGAGGTCAGATAAATATTGTCCTTCCCTCCTAGTGCCTGACTTGGCAGAGTTGCTGCTAAAACCTCCCCAGAAGAGCTCTGAAGGGAAGAGAAGGAGAATTGAGAGGGGAAAGAGGTTCTTTCCCTGCCATGTGCTTGCCTAGGCCAAGACTGATGTGTTTTTTCACAAAAAAAACCACATTTTTGGAGATCTGTAGCCTGGGTGAGGTAGTGAGAACTAAACTCATCCAGCTTTGTCTTAGATATCCAGGAGGAATCCAACACAGGATGGAAATAAAAACTCCAGGAAGGCAGGTGCAAAGTGGTGTGGAAGACCAGGAAGGCAGATCTGGACAGTCCCTAAGGTATTTTGCCATCAAATTAAGAGCATTTCTTAACAGGAGATTGTCATGGCTAAACCTCCAGCTCACATCAATCATTTGAAGTTCAAGTTTCAGCCTAAAAGGTTTTATTGGTTGTACTAACACAGTATAGAAACACTCTGAAACGTAGGAGTAACATGGTAACAGTCAGGAAAAGGGAATTAACCACCTAACACTGAAGGAAACAGGGGAAATGTTCCTTGTTCCTGAAACTAAGTGAAATTCTTTGCTCCCCACTGTGGTTTGGTTGAAGGCACCATGTGTTCTGATATCTGGGAATGCTGTGGTGCAATTCCCATCACTCTCAGCAGCAGGTAACACTATTCCCTCAGCCAGTGGACCCTGAACACTTCCTTGCTGTTGCATCAGATACTGCACTCACGGTCAGCACCACTGTCAGCTTTGTGCTCCTGTGCTGTTTCTGCTCCTGTGCTGAGCTGCTTTGACAGGCTCAAAAAAAAGTTGAGTTTACCTCAAACCATTTAAACTAGTTCATCTGTGTGGCAAGTGGTCCATTTTTATTGAATTATTGCCTTTGAACTACAAGAATTTCTACTGGAAAACCAGAAGATCTTTTACTTTTTAGCACAAACACATTGTGTTTCCCTAAACCTGCCAAGTTACCCAACCAGTCCTTTAATGATGGGTTACATGGTTTACTCCATGAGCCAATTCCTCAGTCAAATCATGAATCATTGCTTCTTGGATTCATTTCAGTGTCAAGGTGTTACATGGAATTATTTGTAACATCTCATTCTTAGCCATTCTTAATCCAGCTATTCTTACCTACGGATCACAGGAGCTGAATGAGAAAAGGAAGACCAAGGAGCAAATCCTGCTGCTCAAAATCGTAACTATCTGTTCTTAACAGGGATGATTTAGTCACAGTTAAGAGCTGGAGTGAGTTACCCTGGAAGAGCTGATCCCTCACCAGGATGTTCCCATTGTTCTTGCAATTTAATACCTCAATAACCCACTAATGTCCTTACTGTTGTTTCCAGATGGTTTGAGGTTTGAACTCCCTTTCAGTCCCTTGAGAAGATGCTTAGGATGATGAGAAGCTACAGAAGGTTGTCCTGCAGGTAACAGTTCTGTTTCTACCTTCCCAAATAGGTGTGTCTGCATCCAGATCTACTCTGGGAAGTGATACCGTCCCAAAAATCTATAAAAATGACAAAGGGAGATGTCTTGGAAACTTCAGTCTTCAAAGATGAACAGCAGCTTCAACAAACCAAAAAGGCCAAAGGTTGGTGGCACTCAGAAGCAGTTTGTGATGGCACAGGTGCAACAAGCTGCTGTTTTTATGGAGCAGGTTCATACACCTGGAATACTATTCCAACACATCCATAACCGCTTCACAGGGAATGTGTGGAAGATGGCAAGATATAAAATAGGCCCAGGAAACATGAGTTTTTGGAAGAAGCAATGCATCCCACTCAGCAGAACAAGCCATGGGGACATCTCTGTGTGCCTAAGGCTCTGCATCGTGCTGCTGGTCCTGCTGGATGCACAGCACGGACTTGTGGAGGATCCCACACTCATGGAGGGACTTGGTGAGGTCAGAGAAGCTCCTCCGAGGCACCTCCATCGTTTCAACACTGCAGCCTTGGTAGTTGGCCAACAATTTGTCTCCTGCCACAGCCAGGACTGTCTGGAGACTGTCAGAGGGCTTGAAGTGGTGTTCAAACCTCTGCCCAGAGGGAGCTCGGACAGCGAGCAGCAAGTGAGGTTCTTCCACACTTACAGGGGACATGGAAGTGCTCTCCTGCCTCATTTTCCTTCCCACATGCTGCATGTGTGAGCTCTCTTCACTGGAGACATTGCTTCCTTGTTCTCCAGAGAGAGTTTTGATGCATTTTGGAGGGTCCTCCTGCCCTTCCCTCACCTCCAGCTGGGTGGTCTGTTCAGCCAACGCTTCCAGGTCGCTCCCCGTGCCCTTGCAGCCGATGGAGGGGAGCACCCTGTACTTGTTCAGGGAAGAGGAGCTCCTCAAAGGCACTTGCTGCAGGAGCTCTGGGATCTCCTGGCTGGATGGGAATGCTGCTTTGCTGAGCAGTGCTCTCTGGCTGTTGGGCAGTTCCCGAGGAGAAGGGGAAGAATTCCCTGGTGGGGAAGGACAGGATTCCATGCCCTGGGAGTGGCTCAAGGTTGGCCTCCTTCGTCCCTTGGCAGATTTGGGCCTGGTGACATGCATGGTGGCTGCTGTGCTCGAGGGGCAGCAGAGGGGAGCTGGTGTAGAGCTCAGCAGAACTGCTGTGGCCATTGCACCTGTGGGTTGGGAGCAGAGGGAAAAGTTACAGGAATTGGCCAGGAAGCTTCCAGAGGGTTTAATTGCCCTATGGGTGTCAGCTATGAATAGAGCAGAGCTGGTGTGTCTGTGTGGGCAGGCAGCAAAATTCTGCCATGCACTGAGTCAGGGATGGTGGGAGATGTTATTTATAGGGGCTGGATTTGTGACAAACTGAGTAAAGCTGACCCAGAACACAAGGAAGTTATGCCCTTCCCAGCTTAGAGCAAGTTTAGGTGGGAAGAACATCTCTTTCTCAGTGCAAACAGGAGGTGAGGGAAGTTTAAAGCACAGATCTAGTCTTTTTTTTTTTCCCCCTCCTGCAGTGGCAGATTAAGTTTCCATTGTGGATTTGGGGGTAAAACCGACTACACTTCACTTTTGAAACATCTCTGAAGACCTTTGATGTTTGAAAAAGCCTCATTCAATACAGAGAAACCTATTTTGGTCACTCCTGTGACCAAAAGCTACTAAAAAAGGGATTGATTTACCCAAGGAAACAGCTGGAGT